GCTGCTAAAATATATTTTTTGAAATCAACTTCTTTAGCCTGTTGAAACCAGGTAGTTCATATATGACAATGTTATAAAAGTTTTCTAGAAAACAAAATCATTATTACTGTTGCTATTAAACATGTCATGCATATTAAAATATATTTTCTACTGGTGATTTCAACATTATTTCCATATTGACCTTTATTACTGGAACTTTTCATGTTCATGTTAGCAGCATCTAGAGATTTTTGAATGTTTGAATGCCCCTGCCTTGATTTTGTTGGAATTTTGCTAAATTTGGTAATGTTGCTTGAATTTTCTGACTACATTTCTTTGACTTTTTTCATGGATTTCCTTGTAAGTAAATAATAATTAAATGTTGAAATTTATGAAATACTTTTATGAATTTAGATAATTTTTAAATATTGTTAAAATTTGTTGAACTAAAAAGTGATGTAAATAAAATAATTCATGTTAAAGATGGAACAAAATAACTAACTTTACATGTTTGGTGATATAGTTGCAAATGTTTTTGATATATGGAGATGTTAAGTCTTTTGACTTTACTAAAGGTGCTGAATAGCATTAATTCACTATTTTTCTTTACTGTTTTACTTGTGAAAATAATAATGCACTAAAGGTGTATAGAAGGTCTGTTTGCATTTGCCATTTGTGATGGACAGAAGGTTTTGTAAGTATATATATTGTAAAATTGATGCATGTTTATTTTTAGCATTGTGTTATTGCCTCTGATGTTAATAAATGAACAAATGATTGTCTGGAGGAACAACTAAAACACTTGCTTATTTTCAGAATACTAGAGGCAATATTTTTATTTATAATTGAATAGACTATATTATTCTATAGACCAACCTGATTGTATAACTTATAGGCTTTATAAAGTATTTTTATAAGTTAAACTTTTTGCATATATTAAGTAGTTAAAAATATTTAATTGATTGTGCTCCATAATTCTTTACTATTTAAAAATTACTTGAAAATTCAATGATTTAACTAAGCAATAATACATGCTAAGTGCATTAAAACTGAAAATGTAAATGTGTACATTTTTCATCTTAACATACTTCAGTCCTAAGTTTTAAATAACATGTTTATTCTAAGTTTGAATAATCTTCCAATTTTTTCAAAGGATCCTTTTTTTTTTAAAGGATCCATTCTCACTAATACTCATGCAAATAGTATTTAAGGGTAAATTGCTCTTATGATCATAGTTGGTTGGTTGCTTCCTGGTTATTTTAATACACATTTAAAAGCTCAAGTATGATCATAGTTTAAAATCTTAACAGATTTAATTTCTTTTTTTTTTTTAAGATTTATTTATTTATGCATACAAGAGCTGGGGTATAAGCCAGAGGTGCGGAGGCAGGAGGGGAGGACTCATGAGAGACAGAGTGGGGAACAGAACTGGTGGATTGACTAAAATACACTGCTGAGGGGAGCAGCAGGTGAGTCAGGAGAGGTCTGCTGAGCCACGTGGGTCACCTCCCTGGCCGGGGATCAAACTTGTGTTGCAGTGGCTGTGAATAGCTTCATAGTGCTGCGACTTAACCCCCTGTGCCACCAGGGCGGGCCCAGATTTAACTTGTTATTTACCAGAGAAACTATAATACACTATTCTCCTCCAAACTAAACATAGCATGAGCTTCAGAAAGAGGGAGGAAGTGCTTATCTGAAACAGTGTAATTGACTTTTAGAAAATGATTTTCATTAAAGTATATGAGTTATAGACTTTATAGTTATATGGTTATAGTTTGTTGTTACAAATAACAAAAACAATTATAATTAACTTAAACAGAAAAATATTTTTTTGAAGAATATTAAATAACTCAGAATTAATGGAAAGGCTGGAGAACCGTATTTGGAAAACAAGTCAAAGGAAAGTAGATGATCAAAGCCATAGCAAATTCTGACTTCAAGAACTAGAAGTTTGCATATCCTTCCCGCTAGCAGGGATGAGTCTGAAAACTGTATTCCAAACACTCTCCTTATTTGTATCACTCATTCCACATTCAGTGGTCTAGTGGAAATGTCCATCTGAACAAGCTTGGTCTTATGCCAGCACTCAGACTGTCAGGCATCAAAATCAGCAAGTATCTTCTGACCTCACCTTTCACAGTAGAAAATGAGACCATTTCTCTTACCAAGATTCACCAAACTTGAAATGGGTTTGATAACTAAGCACCAACTATAAAAAACATCAGAGATCTACTATAGTCCATCTCTTTGTCTTTCCAACATCTAAATATACCTTTCTTCCCATAGTTACACATTAAAAATACTATCTCCTAGCACAATCTTAGTATCCCTCATCTAGCTTCAAATACAGCATCTCAGTGTGCTGTGCATTTCTCCTGTCATAATCTTGTCTCAATAGTTTGCAACCCATGACAGCTGTGACCTAACCACTACTACCACATACACAATAATAGTACAAAATGAGAAAGAAAATGGAAATTAATTAAATATGTAAACAAATACATAAGCCAATGAGGTAAAACACTATAGCTAGGGCAGTGCTTTGCAAGCATCCTTGGTTAGAATCATAAATAAAAATTCCCAGTTCCAGTTACATACCAATTGAATCAGAATTTCCAGGAGAGGAGATAAGCAGCAGCATGTTTTACTACCTAAAATATTTTGATTAAAAATACAAAACAAAAACCTATGGTAAATACATTTCTCCAGTTCTGTTACTGGTCATGAGCCTAGATGGTTTTGACTTGTCACCACTTTTACTTACCCTGTTTCCTTTGTATTCAGTCACCACCTCAATTGATCAAATTTCTTTATCCAGTGGGTGACCCAAGTCTGAGACTTGGATAGACTTGCATTTTATATAATTGCAATAGTCTTTGCTTAATTTTTACATTTCAAAATGGTATTGTGAAGAGGTCTTCTAGGAGATAATATCCCCTGAGTTCTAGTTAGACTTCTCTCCCTACTATTTTTCCCTCTAGTCATCAGGGTCAGTCACTCCAGCTAAACCATAACCACTTTTTTGAACCCAGGAGAATGAGGTAAAAATGATCAGGTGACAATCCTAACTTCAAATTCGGAAAAATATTCTACCGCTTTGCACCTCCTGGATACAAAACTTGGTACACCAATAGAACCTGAAATAGATATGGATGGTGAAGACTGAAGATTTTATCCAAGCTCATTTGCTATGATTTCATGGATGATGACATAAGGAAGTGAGTTATTGGTTAAGAAGGTATTCAATAAATGCATAGATTGAGTGTATAAAAGAAGTGTAAGTCAAGGAAAGCAATCCAAACCTATAATAATTATTCCTATAAAATAAATTATCTCTATAGATGCCATTGTAATCAAGCCTACCATGCAGGCTACATAATGTACTATATCAAGGGATCACATGGGTCACTACAATTAGTGTTGCTTGTCAGTCTTGGCAAGGGGAAAAGACTAGATTAAAAATAAAAGTCCCCATGCCACCATGAATACCTTGTTGGTGGGTCCACTGAGCAAACAGTTGTGATGAGAGAAGTTGACTGATGTCTACAGAGTGAGTCACTTTGGTAGGTAGCCTCTAAAATGGCTGCACTGATCCCCACCTGCTGGTATTTATATCACGTGTAATCTCCCTTTGAGAGTGGACTGTGCTTACTGTTTCATTTCTAATGACAATACAGCAAAAGTAATAGAATGTCGCTTCTGATATTATAAAGAGACTGGTTTCCACCTTGATCAGTCTCTCTTGTTCTCTCATTTGTTTCTGTGGAAAACTAGGTGCCAAGTTACGACATGACCTTTAGGGAACATCACATAGCAAGAAACTTAGGGAGTACTCCATTTCAAAACCCCTAAGGAACGACATCCTGTCTCTAATCATGTTGGTGAGCTTAGAAGTCCATCCTCCCCTAGATGTGCATCCATAACAGCTTGATTACAGTCTCATATAAGACCTACAGTCTGATGCACCCTGGATCCTGAATTCCTAACCCACAAAAACTGTGAAAGGATAAATGCTTATTGTTTCAAGTCACAAAAAATTATATTTAATATGCTGGACAGCATAGATAAAAGAGTAAGTTTGTTCTGATGAAGAACCCTTCTACAATAAGGTTGGTCAAATAGTTTATAAATCAAACTATTGGCAATAGTCATTTGGTCATAAGGAACTCATCATTAAGCTATTGATAGGAGCTAAGGGCCAAAAGTATGTGTGTGAGTTACCTGCTAAAGTAATTGCTTGGGTTTTGGCTCTGGCTCTGCACTGTACTGCAGCTTGATTTTAGTGAAAAGACTCCTTCTCGAAGTGGACGATATTACTCCTGCTTTCATGATGAGAAATTGAGATTGAGTTTCGTGATGTCACATAGTCAGGCATGCCCAGAATCCAAGAGCTAGGCCAGAACATTTCTTGAAAAGGTTTCATATTTTTTAAAAAAGACAATTCTAGGAATTTCCACTTCTCTGGAAAGACATCTATAAGTTATATAAAAACCTCCTGATCTGCCATATATGTGCTGAACACATTGAAGCTATTGGAGTTTAAGAACTGTTTTGGCAGAGCTGCTTGAAGAGCTTTCTCTGGCTCTGCGCTTCATACAAAAATAGCGTCTTTCAGGTCATCTGGTCAAGGAATCAAAACTGATGAATGAGGAAGTCACTGAAAAAAAAAGTTTTTGTAATAAAAGAACTGGGGTGGCGGGGAAGGCTTACTATTCTTGCAAAGGAGAAAGGGTGCTCAATTTTTGTACTATGAAACGCATCTTCCAGGAGACTTTTCGCCTTGGACTGAGAGGAATAAATAGAATTTTTCCCTTATTCAACTTCAGTAATGACTTTGGGTTTGAGGATCAGAGTAGAGTTGTTCTTGGCGAGAAGGTTTAAGCCACTCCTGCCCCTCATTTTCTTAGACAGCCGGGACCAGCGCACGGATTCCCAGCGGGTTTCGGAGGCGTGACGCCCCGCCCGCCCGCCGAGGCCCCGCCCGGTCACGCGCAGGCCCCGCCCCTACCGCGGGGCGCGCCGGGGACGCCGCGGGCGGCTCCTCCCGGGCCTAGGCCCCAAGCAGACCCTGCGGGTGTCGCCGCCATGACCCTGTCTCGGCTTTCTCGGCTGTTGGGCCTCGTCCCGGCCGAAGCGTGGAGAGTGGCAAGTAAGGCGCGGGGCGTTGGGTCAACCGCGGACGGGGGTTGGAGGCCCGGGCGCTCTGAGAAGCGCCGGGGAGGGGCCCGTGTGCCCAGCGCCCGCGGGCGCGCGTTTGGCCGAGCTGCGCGCTCGGTTTGGGCTCAGCCTTCCGCGCCGTGGCCCGGGGCTTGTCCCTTCGCAGCCCGGGACCTCCAGGTGGGTTACCAATTGAAGATCCCCAAAACCCTTCCAACTGGGATTTCTGCTTCCGTGCGGGCGCTGCTCGGGCCTCGAAGCGCCGCAGGCGTTCTCTGGAGTGTGTGCCAGGAACTGGCCGGGTGCACTTGCTCCTGGTGCTCATAGGGAAAGAAAAAAAGAAAAGAGCCTTTGGGGATGAGAGTAACTCATTTGTTTATTTGCAGCAAAAAGAATTTGTGACAGTTTACAGTGTAAAAGAAATTGAAAGCGGGTGGACATGAACCAGAGGCAAATAAGTATTAAAAATTAGGTGAAGCCGAAAGTTGTTAATGCAGAGAAAGTGTGCGTGCTTTCAGTAAAAAAAATTTCAATCCTTTTTTGTTGGACGACTTTCTGAGTGTATTACAGACTTTAACTGCAGAATGTGCCGAACAGTTTTAATGTAGGTCATCCTGGAGAAATTATGTGTGTAAATTGAAAACTGAATTACTGCCCTTCTAATAACTGGCCCCAGATTTTTGTGTGGTTTGTTCATCATTCTGTAGCCATTACCCTCCTCTCCCCCCAACATAAGCCTATTATTAATGGTAAAAAAAAACTTAATGATTTAGAAATGAATAATAAAAAGTGAAAGCCCTTAGTTGTCCAAACTCCAAGGTAAATGCTGTTTAAAATTTTGTTGTATAATTTATCTTCCCTTTTTCACTAGTATTAAAAACTTAAGAATGAAATATTTGATAACAAAGGTGTAAGTTATGAAGCAACATTTATGAACTCATTCTCCAATTTAATGGACAGAATATTTCTGTAACAGTGTAATCTAAAAAGGAGAGGTACCATGTTCCCCACCCCATCCAGTGAAGGGTGGGGAGGAAGCTAAAAAGGAAGGCAGGGAGGACTTGGGGAGGAAACTTGGTGGAGGCATGTGGAGCAGAGAGACATGTGAAGATGCTTCATGCTTCTGGGCCTTGGACTTGTACTAGGGACTTGGGGGACAGAGAGGAGACACTTGAAAGAGAAGTGAGCGAGATACCTGTGGGGAGGCTGACAATGGCAGCCTTTATCTTGACTTGTATTTTCAATTTGCTTTTTCCTTCCAGGCTTCCCTGGCTCCTTCTGCCCCTTTCCTCTGGTTCCCTACCAGATGGTGCCTTAGACTATGGCAAACTTTTGGACCTCAGGAGCCACCCTTTGGCCAACCCTGTTTGGGCATTTTCCCATGAGGGGATGGGTTACTTCGGGTACTTCATTGGAAAACTATACCCTTTCTCCTTTGTCATTATTGCACACTAATTCTATTAAAAGTCTTTTCTATTAAAAGTCTTAAGCACTGGGGCCTCCCCTGGTGGCGCAGCAGTTGAGCGCTGGGCTGCGAAGCTGCCCGCAGCCTCTGCAGCGCTGATTCAATCCCCAGCCACCGGGGAGGGTCCCACATGGCGAGGCAGACATCTCCTGCCACACCGGCTGCTCCCCTCAGCAATGTACTTCGCCCGTCTGCCTGTTCTGTTTCCCACCTTGGCTCTGGTGAATCCTCTCACCCTCCCACGCTTCTGACTGTACCCAGTGCTGGTATAAATAAATAAATAAATCTTAAAAAAAAAAAAAAAAAAGTCTTAAACACTGCTGGTGTGCTTTGTCTTTATGCAGGAGATGGCAGAACCTATTTAGAGCATGCAAGGTTTGGGGTTCCCTGGGTGCCCGTTAGCCTGACCACTAACATTTCCATTGCCAGGTAGCTCCTTGAGTGCTGTGTCCTGATGCTGTTGTCCAACTTTGCAAGTTTTGTTTTCTCTATAGAATAGCCTTCATACAATTTGTATTTATTTGCTTTTTTCAGCTAAAACTATGTTTTGCTATTGAGCCATATCTGTGTGTGAGGTTGTAGTTATGCTTTCAACTGTGTGGTTATATCATAGATTTTCCATTCTCCCAGTGAACATTTTGGTATTTATGTAAAAGCCGGGATTGGCTGCTATGCATTTTTGTCTATTTGTAAGAACTCATGTGTAATGAATGAATTTTTGGAGCATACTGTATGGGCCTGTTGAATTTTACAATCTGATACCAAGTTGTAAATAACCTGTTCCTACAGCCAATTTATACTTCTGTCAGCAATATCTTACAGTTCTTGTCACTCCACTTACATGTCAGCATTCAATATTGTCAGAAAATTTTATTTTTGTCTGCCTATAAGTGAGTTAGTGACTTAATGTGATTTAGTTTTTCTCTTATTAAATTATCTTTTTAAATATTACTTTATTGAAATAGCTCTTCATTTTCTTAATGGATTGTCTTTTTACATATAAATTCATATACACAAGTTTATATGGATATAGTGGTATAAGGTCAGTTCTAGTTTCTTTCTTTTGCATATGGATATATAGTTTTCCCAACACCATCTATTGAAGAGACTGTCCTTTCCCCATCATGTGTTCCTGTCACCCTTGTCAAAAATTTGTTTATATTACTATGTATTTGACTACTAAGTCTTTTTTTAGTTATCTAAGTGGCAAATATCTCCATTTGTGGGCTGTTTTTGTCACTCATATGGAGTCTTTAAAAAAAAATTCCTGGCCCTCCCTGGCGCAGGGGTTAAAGACACTGCTCTATCAAACTGTTGCCAGCCACTATAGCAGGAGTTTGCCTGGTTGCTGAGCCACATGGCCCAGCAGACCTCTCCTGTCTTGCCTATTGCTCCCCTCAGCAGTGTATCTCAATAGATCTACCTGTTCTGCTCCCCACTCTGTCTCTGGTGAGTCCTCTCACCCCCTGCACCTCTGACCTACACCCCATTTCTTCTACTAAATAAATAAATAAAATCTTTTAAAAAAAATTCCAACAGTAGAATAGAATAATGTATCTGCATGTACAATCACACAGCTTCTGAAGAAAGATGCCTTTTGATGAACAGATAATTCAGAGTTTTGTTGTAATTTTGTCTTGATCCTTTTGTTTATGGTCAGTGCTTTGTGGTCCTAAGAAAACTTTGCCTACCTTAAAAACATAGATGTCCTTGATTTTCTTATCAAAGTTCTATGGCTTTCCTTTTTGTATTTAAGGCTTTATGTTATCAGAAATTGATTTTCATGTGTAGTATGAGTTTCATTTTTTTTTTCCTTATCATTAACCAGTTGTCCCAGGTCTGTGTATTGTACTTTTTCCCCCACTGATGTAATGACAGCTATTATGAATCAAGTTTACATATTCGTTATGTGTAGGCTTATTTCTTTTCAGATCAGCTGATCTATTTGTCAACTCCTATGTTGATACCACAGGTTTTAATAACTACATCTTTGTAATAAATCTTGGTTTTTAGTTGGGTTAAGTGCACCCAAAGTTCCTCTTGAGATTTTTGATTAATACTGTTTGATATTTTTCTAATTATCATTTTCTTATTTTTGCTTATATATAAAAACACAGTTGACTTATTTATTGATTTTGTATCCAGTAAGCTAGCTAAATTGCTTTATTAACTTATTTGCAGATTTGGGCAGGGTTGTTGCAAGGTAAACAATCATCTGCAAATAACAAAAACATAGTTTCTCTCTTTCAAATCTTAATTCTTTTTCTTTTCTCTGGTTGTTCTATCTTTGCTCTTATTTTCCAGTATCATGTTATCTGAAGTGGTGGTAGCAGACATAATTGTATATTGTGATTATAAAGGGAATGGATTCCCTTTATAAGTGTGATATTAGCTGTAGATGTGTCCTTTATCAGATTAAGGAAGGTTCCTGCTATTTCTAAAAGGGTCTTGGTTTCTTTATGCATTTGTCTTTTTTCTTAGACTCAATAAATCTCAAATTTTACTGAATTCTTTTTTTCTTCATCTTGGAATAATTATATCATTATCTCCTTTAATCTGGTGAGTTTGTGAATTACACATTTTTCCTAGTGCTGAATCACTCTTGTATTCCTAGAAAATATACAAATTGATCATGGTATTTATATTTTTGTGATATAATGTTGGATTTGATATACTTAGTTTGTCTAGTAGCTGGTTTAATTTTCTTACAATTTCCAGTAAAGTTTTTAATTAATTTAGAATTAGTTAACCTAGCCTCATGAAATGAATTTGAATAATATCTTTTCATCTTGTCCCCTTCATTGTTATATTGAAATGATTCATTCCTTAAGTGTTTGGTACAACTCACCTGTAAAACTATCTAAATCTGCTCTTTTCTTTAAGGGAAGATTTAAAATTACCTGTCTAATTTCTGTAATGATTATCGTAGTATAGAACAGGTTTTTTTCTTCTTTTTTTAGGTCTTAAGTCAGTTTTGAGGAGTAAATTTTTTCTAGAAAATTACTCATTTTGTATACTTATAGAATATAAGTATAAAGTTCCTGAGTTGTTGGGGTTTACCCCACCCCCATTTCTGCTCTCTATAAAACTATGTACTCTTTCCTCATATTATTTATGTTGCCTTCTGTTGTTGTTATTAGCATTAGCAAGGACTTCACAAATAGTTTGAGTCTCTTAAGAGAATCAACTTTGGATTGATCCTGTCATTTTTATGTATTTTACTTGTGTCCTTTCCTTAGTGTTTTGTTTTGTTTTGTTCCGTTGTCTGTGAGTCTCCTTTTAAGAAAAAAATCATGAAAGTGGTACATCTTACATGTCTTAGTCCAGGCTGCCAAAATAAATTGAGCTGGTAGCTTAAATGTCAAATATTTATTTCTCAGAGTCCTGGAAGTTAGGAGGTTAAGAAGTTCAATATCAAGGTGCCAGTCTGCTTCCTGATTTGCTGATGACTGTCTTATTGTATCCTCAAGAGGTAGAAAACAGAAGGCCAGAGCAAGCTAACTTCTTTTCTTAGAAAGGCACTTAACCCTTCATAAGGACTCCACTCCCATGACCTGATTACCTCCCAGTGGCCACACCTCCCAATATTATCACATTAGGGGTTAGAATTCCAACATGAATATTGGGGGCAAACAAACCTTCAATCCATAATAATTGGCTGGACTTTGTATTTTTTTTTTGTACTCTGAAAGTCTATACCTTTTCATTGGAGTGTTCAGTGCATTTATAATTATTAAAATTACTGCTATAATTGACTTTTCCTACCATATTATTTTTGTATCTTCTATTTGTCATGCTTTGTTTACATTAAATGTTTTCCTTTTTTTAAGTGCTGGTGATTCATAAGATACACGTTGTCTTTTATTTTTTTTACCCTTGAAATCCAAAGCATACTTAAGGAAGCCTAAAATTAATGAATATCATTACCCTCCCCTAAATAGTACACAGCTTAGGGCCTCCCCTGGTGGCACAGCAGTTGAGCGCTGGGCTGCGCAGCCTCTGCAGCGCGGTTTCGATCTCCGGCCGCTGGGTGAGAGTCCCACATGGCGTGACAGACCTCTCCTGCCCCGCATGCTGCTCCCCTCAGCAGTGTGTTTTGTCAGTCTGTCTGTTCTGCTCCCTGCTCTGGCTCTGGAGAATTCTCTCACCCTCCCGTGCTTCTGACTGTACCCAGTGCTTATATAAATAAATAAATAAATTTTAAAAAGAAAAACAATAAATAGTACACAGCTTAAAAGTGTCTTTGCAAGACATCTTTACAGACACATCACCCAAAGCAGTGATAGTGAAGGCAAAGATAAACAGCTGGGACTACATCAAATTAAAGAGCTTCTGCACAGCAAAAGAGACAATAACAAAAACAAAGAGAAACCCCACCAACTGGGAGAACATTTTTGCACCCAACACTAATGATAAAGGACTGATCACAAAAATCTGCAAAGAGCTGATGAGACTCAGCAACAACAAAGAAAATAATCCAGTCAAAAAATGGGCAGAAGAGCTAAAAAGAAACTTCTCTGAAGAGGAAATGCAAATGGCCAACAGGCATATGAAAAAATGTTCAACATCACTTGCCATCAGGGAAATGCAAATCAAAACTACCATGAGATACCATCTCACACCAGTGAGAATGGCACATATTAAAAAAACAGCAACAACAAATGTTGGCGAGGGTGTGGAGAAAAAGGAACTCTTCTGCACTGTTGGTGGGAGTGCAAACTGGTCCAACCACTATGGAGAGCTGTGTGGTAGAGCTTCCATATGATCCAGCAATTCCACTGCTAGGTATTTACCCAAAGGACACAGAAACATCAATTCCAAAGAGCACCTGCACCCCTATGTTTATAGCAGCACTGTTTACAATAGCTAAGCTTTGGAAACAACCCAAATGCCCAAAAATAGAGGACTGGATCAAGAAGATGTGGTACATATATACCATGGAATATTACTCAGCATTCAAAAAAGATAAACACATGCAATTTGCAGCAACATGGATGGCGCTGGAAGGGATCATGCTCAGCGAAATAAGCCAAAATGAAAAAGAAAAATACTGGATGGTCTCACTCATAGCAGGAATCTAGAAAACTTAAATAAGGGACCAGGAAAATGAATATAAGAAAGTGAAAATCAAAATCAACAAAAAACTATGAACCAGAGACACTTTTTGGGGGTTGGGGGGCGGGAGGGGAAGGATTGGGGTCAGAATGGGGCGTTTGCAATTGTATGGGGGAATATAAAAATAAAATTTATTATTAAAAAAAAAAAAGTGTCTTTGCATTCACTCATTCTCTGCCTTTGTTACTCAGTCTTTTAGGGGTGTGTATGTGTGTGTTTTCATGTGTGTTGGGTAAGATTGTAGTTTGTTAACTCCATAAATCAGTGTTACCATTGTTTTATACCATCAATATATGGTATTTTCTCTCTATACCTTCTTTATTTTCTCTCTATACCTTCTTATCTCCCACTTTTGGCATCACTTACTTAGAGTCCATTCTTTAGAATTTCATTTGATAAAGTCTTATGGTCAAGTTTCCCATTTCTAATCTGGAAAACTAACATTTCTTATTTTTGAAAGATGGTTTCAATGAGTATCATTTTCTCATAATTCTGTCTTCTGACTTCATTATAGCTATTTGCAAGGTCATCTGCCTGTCCAACTTTTGTTCTTTTATCAATAATCTGTTTTTTTCTGGCTGCTTTTTAGATCTTCCTTTGATGTTGGAGGATCTTCATTTTAGTTCATGCCTAAATGTGTTGTTTTTTGTTTTTTTTTAATTTTACTTGAAGTTGTGTGCTAACTTTCCTCAGGCAATTAGTACCATAAATAGGAAGTGTTTTATATAATGAGCATATAGAAGAAAGAAAACTATATTAATTCTATATATCATTGTCATAGCTTTATTAAAATACTCAATTATGTATTTATCTGTTTTTAATCCTGATATTTTGTGGGCTCTTGGGTCTGTGGGAGACAGTTTCCAATTCCATTTGAGCACTCATTCAACAATTTACTGAGTAATATGCAGTAGATATGCAAATGAACATCCTGATGTGCTGTTTTGACATTGTTAAAGCAATTTGGCTGTAATGCTAACTTTGCTAACCTCACAACCAAATCTTATGTAAATTCCAAGTTGAGTGTGGAGGGTATGTATGTATACACAGAAGCACATGTAGATGTACAAGCAAAATTTGTGTGTGTGTATATATGTATAATTATAATTTTAAATTATATATTATTATGGGGTAGGGTGACATAGTGATGAAGTCTAGAATATGATTAAAATACCTATATTAATATCCTAATTATATATAATGCTTCACAAATGTCAAACAACTAGTTAATATTTGTATTAGTTGCCTATTGCTGCTATAATAAATTGCCTCAAACTTGTAAGATGCAAAACATCTTACGGTTTTAGAGTTTCCAGGTCTGAAATGGATCTCTCAGGGCCAAAATCAAGGTGTTAGAAGAACTGTGTTCCTTCTAAAGGCTCTAGGGGAGAATCTTGTTTCCTTCCTCTTTCAACTTCATCTTCCTCGACTCATTGACCTTTTGCTAGTATCAGTCAAATCTGTCTCGCACTACCTCTCACTGGTTCTCTCTTCCCCTTTGAAGAATTCATGTGATAACAGTATACCCACTTAGATAATCTAAAATAATCTCGCTAGTTGCAGGTCATCTGATTAGCAACCTTAAGCCCACCTGTTACCCGATTTCTTTTATGCACTGTAACCTATTCATAGGTTCTGGTTATTAGATTCTGATCTTTGATCATTATTCTGCTTGCCACCATGGAATAGCTGGAACTGGTACCTAGCTCTTTCTGCCTCTGAAACCATTCCTGTAGGAAGTTCCCAATCCTGAACTCATTTTTTTTTTTTTCCACAGTGGTTTTGCCCTTGTTGAATATTATCTCAACCAGGGGTTGGTTTAGCTTTCTTTTTATAAGCTAGAGAAAAAGTCATCTCATTTATACATTGGAGATGCCCAGTTACATTTTTTAAATGTTTAGTTGGCAAGAAAAGTGGACTATGATTAGAATATCAATATAAGAATACAGTCCCTTGGGCCTCCCCAGTGGCACAGCGGTTGAGCACTGGGTTGCAAAGCTGCCCGCAGCCTCTGCAGTGCTGGTTCGATCCCTGGCCGCCAGGTGAGGGTCCCACATGGCACACAGACCTCTCCTGCCGCCCGCTGCTCCCCTCAGCAGTGTATTTTATCAGTCTGCCTGTTCTGTTCCCTGCTCTGGCTCTGGTGAATTCTCTCACCCTCCCACGCTTCTGACTGTACCCAGTGCTTGTATAAATAAAAAATAAATCTTAAAAAAAAAAAAGAATACAGTCCCTTGTGACTTCCAGAAATATTGATACTAAATATTGTCACTGAAAACTTCATACTATTTAGTTATTCTTAATTATCTGATTCCTAGTATTTTTGGCATTGCATCAGACAGTAATTAATATTTTATATATATGTTTTTATAATTTTGATAGTGGTTAACTTATTTCAGAGCTCTTCTTTTCAAACTGATAAAACCAGTTGTCTCCAAGAAAAGGAAATGACTGAAAACTCGGAACAAGAGGAAAGAATTTTTACTGTATGTCCTTTTGTTGTACTTTTTGATGAACTGTGATGAAACTTTGATGAAATGTGAATGTGTAAACTAAAAATAGGCTAAATTATTAAATTTTTAAAGTAGAAGAAATGAATGATTCCTGTTTGTTCACTGTCCTCTCTGCTAGGATCACCCCATGTGTGTCATTCTCTGAGAAAAGCAAGTTCTCAAGGAGGGATGTCTGAACCTGTCAAACAATCCCTTAAGAAGCCAAAGTTACCAGTAGGTCGTTTTGATGCCCCAGAAGATTCCAATTTAGAGAAGGAACCACTGACAAGTGAGTATAATAAAGCTCCTCTTTTAATTTTTGAAGTATCAAAATGTTTTAGTTATTGAGGAAAAAAAAGCAAATGAAACCTGTTATTGGCTGTAATTATTTTATTAACAATAATGAAGCATACTTCAGCAGTGAATAGAATTATTATATTGACCATCAATATGTATGGGTTTAAAAAAGAAAACTATTTGCAAACCGCTGGCAGTAATTGATTGTTTTGTTTTTTATACTCCACTATTCACATGGGAAAAATATGTGAATTGATTCTTGCTTTGATTCAAATACCAGAAACCCATTTGAGCAAACTGAGGCAGAAGGTAGGGTTATTAGGGTACAAGGTACCAGTAAGGTGCCAGGGCAGTGATACTTCTTGGCTTTGGAAAAAGACTGGTATGGGGGTCTACACACTATGAAAATCAGGATATTCTGCCTTTTGTTTTTTCTGAACACATCTCTTCATAGGTCTTTGTCTCCAAATTGCTTTCTCAGTCCACTGGGCAAAAAAGTAACTCCTCTAGCAGTTTAAAAAAGCAGTCAGACTAAAAATTTCTTAGTCTTAATTCCAGATTCCTTAGAAGAGTTCTACTTGACCAATCTTGGATCAGGTGTCCACAGCGGAGTCTATCAAAGAAGCCAGTGAGTGGATCACATATGAAGGTGATTGTTCTCACTGTAACCACATCTTTGGGGGAAAAGGAAGGGAAGATAAGAAAATAAAGAAGTTTACTGAGCAAGGTGGGGTGATAAACTAAATATTTTGCATTCAGGATGTACAAATATTGGTTTATGTCTTACAGTTCCTTATTTAAGTACTACTTTTTCACTTTAAACTCTTGTAACTTTGATTTACGGAACATGTAAGTGTTAGCTATTAAAAAAATAAAATTTTAGATAGCATAAGTGTAAATAAGCTTACCACTTTGAGACCTTACAGTACTGCCCTGACTGTCCAGGCATGTGAGAATTAACCCGTCATCCTAGGTAAGAAGGTATTAGTAGAAGATATAGAGACCTGTGCTGGAACTCTTTCTAAAATATAAAAGCTTTTTTGTTTTTTGCTCAATTAAACATTTTAATTTATAGCACTTTATCCTATCTAATCTGATAAATCAATCAGCTATGAAGATGGAGACTTTTTAAAGTTTCCTCATCTAAAGATAAAATTATTCTCTGGTGGCTTTAGCAAAGTATAAAAATCTAAGAGGAAATATTTCCTTAAAACATCACACAATGTAGTATATACAGATGTTGATTTATAATGCTGCACACCTGAAAGTTATAAAACTATGCAATGTAACTATTTTTTTAATTAGGATTTTTTTTAAAGATTTATTTTATTTATACAAGAGCTGGGGTACAGGCCAGATGGGTGGGAGGGTGAGAGAATTCACCAGAGACAGAGCGGGGAATAGAACAGGCAGACTGATGAAACACACTGCTGAGGGCAGCAGCGGGCGAGACAGGAGAGCTCTGCTGAACCATGTGGGATTCTCGTGGGCCGGGTGGGATTTAATCCATGCTGCAGAGGCTGCAAACAGCTTCACAGTGCGTCGCTCAGCTGCCTGTGCCACCGGAGAGGCCCTGCAGTGTAACTTTAATAAAATATTTTTTTAAAAAAATAATGGGGAAAAGGGCCTCCCTGGTGGCGCAAGGGGTTAAAGCACCACACTATGAAGCAATCCACAGCCTCTGCAGCAGGAGTTCGATCCCCAGCTGGCCAGGGAGCAACCCACGTGGCGCAGCAAACCTTTCATGTCTCGCCCACTGCTCCCCTCAGCAATTTACTTCGGTCAACCTGACTGTTCTGTTCTCCACCCTATCTCTGATGAATCCTCTCACCCCCTGCATCTCTGGCCTGTACCCCAGCTCTTGAATGCATAAATAAATAAATATTTAAAAAAATAATAAAAATGAAGGGAAGAAAAAGACTATAGATAATACTGCTTCTGAAAATACACATGAAAGAGAAAAAGCATGTACTCTTTGAAATATTTCATAGTAAAATAAAACATTATGACTGAATTATCTTGCATGAATTGCATATAAAGTCAGTATCAAGTCAAGGAGGAATTATTTTGTTTGTCTATGAGAAAGTAAATTTGAAAATTTTTGAAAAAACATCACACACAAAAATAGCAATCCCAGAAGTAAACCCTGGCATACAGCATGCTCATTTGATTTTTAATAGGCATGATGAGACAATTCAGTGGGGCAAAGGATGGTTTTTTCAACAATGGTGCCAGGCAAGCTAGACCATTCTAAGAAAAATGTATTCGTTGTCCCTTTCTAGAGAATAGATTTCATTATTAGATATTTAAGGAAGAGTGTTTGCAGCTAGGTACCCTATTTAATGCAAAAATAAATAAGAAAAGAAAATACATAAATAAAATACATAAATCACTCTGACCGGAACATCATGTGGTAATTGGCTTAAGAGATACACAGAAAAAGATCAGAGAAGGGTAGACAAAAGAGGTAACATTTGAGCTTGGGTTTAAAGAGACAGTAGAATTGCGATAAGGAGTGGTGGGAAACGTTTCAAAAAGAAAGCTACAGTAAAAGAAAAACACACACTGGGAAACAGCCAGTAAGCCGCACAACATAAAGTGAGAATTAATAAAATACCAGACTAGAAAGATAGATTTGGCTCCAATCTTGGAGGGCCTGAAGTGCTAGGTCTGTGTGGCCTTTCTGCAATGGACAGAGGGAAAAGCACTAAAATGTGAATAGATTGTTTCAATCAGCTTTCCTAAAATATAATTTTCATATAGTAAAATCCATCCATTTTAAGTAAACAGTTCAGTGAATTTTAACAAATGTTTCTAGTCATGTAACCAACACAAAGTAAAAAAAGTTCATTCCCCATAGAGTCCCTCCTGCCTCTTTATATTAATCGGGTTTCCCCATCACCCTGCAGCCATTGATCTTTTTTCTATAAGTATAATTTTGCCTCTTTTAGGATTTTATAAAAATGAAATCATGCAATGTGTAGTCTTTTGTGTATGACTTTTCACTTAGTGTAATGTGGAGGAGGGATTCTTTTTTAGAAAGATTATTTCAGCCTCAAGAGGCAAGAAACAGATGAATTAGAAAACTGTTGCTTTCCTCTTGATGGGACAGAGCATGAGCCAGTGTAGTGCTGGTTAGAATGAAATGTTTCAGCAACTTGTAGGTTATAATGAGAGTGAAAATAAGGTTAAACAAAGATAAGGAAGATGGGAGATTAAAGGTAGGAGGTTGTGGAAAAAAAGAGCCAAAGTCTGTGGGATTTGGAAAAAGAACATATTCAAGAGATAATAATATCCAAGTAAATGACATAAGTGGAGATGAATATTACCAGATAAGAGTATTGAGGACCTCTGTGGCCCCAATATATGATAATTCATTAATGTGATACTGATATTAATGTTGATGGGAGAGAGAGTTGCACCTATAAAACAAATAATTGATATCATCCAAAAAGATACAAGTCTTTGAATTTATTATAAGATGGGAGAAAAGCATTGGACTGGTGAATTCTGCGAATTCAAAAGAAGAAATGCTGTGGAAATTTGGTGGTAGAATGAGAGACTGGAAGTCGCAGCAAAGGAACAGGGATATCTTGACCCTATTTCTCCGTTGTACTATGAATTGATTTGTGTCCCCTGAAATAACAGGTTGATACCTTAACTCCCAGTGTGATGGGATTTGGAGATAGGGCCTTTGAAAGATAATAGGGTTTAAATGAGGTCTTGAGGGTGGGGAACCATGATGAAATTAGTGTGTTTGTAGGAAGAGACAACAGAGAGCTTGATGTTTGTTGCTCTTTCTGCCATATGAGTACATAGCAAGAAGAGGCCATCTGCAGGTCAGTTCCTCACCAGAACTCACTGTTGCTGGCACTCTGATCACAGACTTCCAGCTGCCAGAATTGTGAGAAAATAAATTTCTCTTGTTTAAGCACCAGTCTGTGAGCCTTGGTTATGGCAGCCCAAACTAAGCCCCAGAGATATGGAGAAAATCATAACTTCTGTTGGAGAGTCTTTTAGAGGAAATCAAAACAAGCAGTTCTTTAAAAAACAGGATGATTACCCAAAGCAGTGATAGTGAAGGCAAAGATAAACAGCTGGGACTACATCAAATTAAAGAGCTTCTGCACAGCAAAAGAGACAATAACAAAAACAAAGAGAAACCCCACCAACTGGGAGAACATTTTTGCACCCAACACTAATGATAAAGGACTGATCACAAAAATCTGCAAAGAGCTGATGAGACTTAACAACAACAAAGAAAAGAATCCAGTCAAAAAATGGGCAGAAGAGCTAAAAAGAAACTTCTCTGAAGAGGAAATGCAAATGGCCAACGGGCATATGAAAAAATGTTCAACATCACTTGTAATCAGGGAAATGCAAATCAAAACTACCATGAGATACCATCTCACACCAGTGAGAATGGCACATATTAAAAAAACTAGCAACAACAAATGTTGGCGAGGGTGTGGAGAAAAAGGAACTCTTCTGCACTGTTGGTGGGAGTGCAAACTGGTCCAACCACTGTGGAGAGCTGTGTGGAGATTTCTGGACCTACTAAACATAGAGCTTCCATATGATCCAGCAATTCCACTCCTAGGTATTTACCCAAAGGACACAGAAACATCAATTCCAAAGAACACCTGCACCCCTATGTTTATAGCAGCACTGTTTACAATAGCTAAGCTTTGGAAACAGCCCAAATGCCCAAAAATAGGTGACTGGATCAAGAAGATGTGGTACATATATACCATGGAATATTACTCAGCATTCAAAAAAGATAAACACATGCAATTTGCAGCAACATGGATGGCACTGGAAGGGATCATGCTCAGCGAAATAAGCCAAAAAGAAAAAGAAAAATACCGGATGGTCTCACTCATAGCAGGAATCTAGAAAACTTAAATAAGGGACCAGGAAAACGAATAACTATAAGAAAGTGAAAAGCAAAATCAACAAAAAACTACGAACCAGAGACACTTTTAGGGGGGCGGGGGTGGGAGGGGAGGGATTGGGGTCAGAATGGGGGGGCTGCAATTGTATGGGGAATATAAAAATAAAATTTATTATTAAAAAATAAAAAAAAAAAAAAAATAGGATATAATGGATTTACCAAAATTGAAAAGACAAATAAAAAGAGACTATTCCAGTGTTTATAAGACTACTTATTAATCCATATATAAAACTTTTAAAATCAGTATCTTCAAACTTCTAGAACAAATCAGAATTGAGAAATATAAGGAAGAGAAAGAAATGAAAACCTCACTGCACTACATTCCTAAAGAAGCTGTTACTTCAGTATCTGCTTTTTCAATAAGATCTCAGATGTTATGAACTCCAACTACAATGCTTTCTTTAATAGACTGATTTTACTCTTACAAAGGTCTTCATCAACCCATTTACAATTTAAAAATCATAATTGTTAGGGCTGAGATCAAATTTTATAATTCTAATGTAATGATCTTTTAATTTGGGATTTCAAAAGAATGAGCCATTAGAATTCATGTAATTTTGTATAAAAGAACACCCAATCTTATTACTGCAAATTGCACATTAAAAACAAAACCAAACCAAACCTTTCCTTAGCCTCCATAGGGGTATTTATATAAGACTAAATATCTATTATTGTTTTAAACTAACAATTTTAAATAAGTTTATAATTTATAATAAAAATATTTCAAGGAAAGTGTAATTTGTGTATATAGTGTTCTCTTTGTTCCATATTAAAAAAAAAAAAACAGGATGATGATGAGGTAGGGAAAGTTTATTCACAGTAAAGATAGATAAAGCCCCTGATTCTGTGATTGGATTTTTATGAGGATAAACTGAGTTAATATGTATATAAATTACTCAGAATTGGGTTTGACTCATGATGGATATTTCTATTATGAATACATAATATTAATAACAACTGCTATTATGTCTATTATTGGCATTGCCAGCTAACCAGTTGCTAAAGCCAGAATCTTATAATGAGAAACAATATTAATAGCCAAAATTAATTCAGCTTTCTTATCTACCTGACACTGTTAGACCATTTACATGCATTGCCTTGTATTTTTTTTATTTGTGCGAGTTTCTTTGTTGTTTTTTTGAGGAACAAGAGTCAAGTTTTTTCATTCATTTCTTGCATTTGAAGTATTCCTCAGTGACATCCTTGGCCATAGTCCTAAGCTGCCACACAAGTGCAGCTAACCACTTTACAGGTTCCCCTATTCTGTCAGTTTTACAGAGGCCTACCCATTTTCCTAGTTTCTTGTCATCAATCTTAATTAGGTTGATTTGGTGTTCAGCACAAAGGGTCTCCACCAAGTTGACATTAAATGCAGGCACACAAAAATGGACTTAGTGTTTGTATAAGGACTTTGGTAGTTCAGGAATCCTACATTGTGGGTGGGGTTGGCCTTTAGCATCTCTTGGAAAGCAAAATTAACATTCATTATACCTCCATCAGTAAGGCCTTCCTCCACCTTAGTGGTGGTTTTAGGGTGGAGTGGAATCTTAAATGCGCTGAACCCCTATATTCAGGGAACTCAGTGGTGGTAGTGAAAGCTGCATTACCTTTTTAACTTTGAAGACAGTAAGGATGGTATTATTGTTCCCATTTTACTGATAAGAAATGGGATGGCAATTGGAATTTATACTCCGTATTTTTTGCACCCCTTTCCTCCTACATTAACCCACAAGCTCATATGCAGTACTTTCCAGATTGGGACTGGAGAGTACTCTTAAGAATTCTAAGTCACTAATGCAGGTAATAAAGTTGATTCAATATGAAAATTGTTTCCTATAGTGGTTTCTTAACCTCAGGAAAAAAACACATTTACAGTTCATTTAAAGACTGCATAGTAACCTAGTCAGTTGTATCTAGCTTCTTATTAACTGGCAAATTTGCAACCCTCTCTTCAGAATTGACCCTTCACAATCAATATTCATCTTTTCCCCATGTCTATTGACTGCTTTTTTTTCTTCTTTCTCCAGAATTTCCAGATGATGTAAATCCTGTTACCAAAGAAAAAGGTGGACCCAGGGGCCCAGAACCTACCCGATACGGAGATTGGGAACGAAAGGGACGCTGTATTGATTTTTGAGCTGCATATTCTTTAACCTCATTAACTTTTTCTGAATATGTACTCTGAATTATTTCTGATTATCTTCTTTCTTATATCCTTTAGATCATCCAGTTTCTATAGTGTGTTTAAAAATATATATGTATGTGATGATTTTGGATGACAGTATGCTGCTATAAATTAGAAAGGGGAAAATGTTTCTTTATTAGCACCTATTTTAATTTTAATGTCTTGGGGAGCATGTAAGTGATTTTAAAACTGCAAACTACATGTTGCAGTTTAAATTAATCAGTTGTTTGTAAATGCATGTGTAAATAAAAGTTTTTTAAATGTGTTGCCATGTGCTAGGTAATAATGACTTTTTATTTTATTTTTTTAAAGATTTATTTTTATTTATGTATATAAGAACTGAGGTGTAGGGCAGAGGTATGGGAAGTGAGAAGATTCACCAGAGACAGAGTGGGAAGCAGAACAGGCAGATCTACTGAGATACACTGCTGAGGGGAGCAGTGGGTGAGACAGGAGAGGTCTGCCATGCCATGTGGTGTTAGCTTCCTGGCAAGGGATCGAACTCATGCCACAATGCCTGGCAATAGCTTGAGACATTAACCACTGCACCACCAGGGAGGCCCAATAATGGCTTTTTATGTGTGAGTTTAGTAGTACATTGTAGTTTGAGAAGGCCACAGCAAATAATCCTTTACTTGGAAACAGGTTACTTGAGTTCAAATCCAAACTTTTCTTCTTACCAACTATGTGACTTTGGGTAAGTTATTTAACTTGTCTGTGCTTCCTTATTTATAAATTAGAGGTAATACTACTCTTGTTTTTTTTTTTTTTTTTAAAGAGGCATGTATTTTCATTTATTTAATTATTTATTTGTTTGTTTGTTTATACATGCACTGAGTACAGTCAGAAGCGCGGGAGGGTGAGAGAATTCACCAGAGCCAGATCGGGGAGCAGATCAGGCAGAAGGATCGAAGTACACTGCTGAGGGGAGCAGCGGGTGGCAGGAGAGGTCTGCGCGCCATGTGGGACCCTCCTCCGGTGGCTGGGGAGCAGCCAGGGATCAAACCGGCGCCGCAGAGGCTGCGGGTAGCTTCGCAACCCAGCGCTCAACCGCTGCGCCACTGGGGAGGCCCAGAGGTAATACTACTCTTACCTCATAGGACAGTTGAGAAGATTAAATGAACAAAATATATGTGAACCACTCGAAGCATTTGATAGCACATACTTCCTAGTAAATGTTAGCTATGGGACCCCCAGGGTTATTGGCCCACACACTTTCAAGAACTGCCAAACTGATTCAAGTAGGAAGAGAGGTACTAAATACAGACTTTGTAAAAGTACTATCTACAGATTGTGCCTCCAAGACCAAGTTCCAGAACTACAGCACAGCATAGCACTGACTTGAGATGAGTTGTCAGCTCTAGAACCCTTGAAGCTGCTGTTGACCCACAATGGCACCTCATCTGACCATTTCTACATCATTGTCTTATGTGGTGGACACACTAGTCAAATGTCTACCCCAGTGGAAGTTGGGAAGTGACTTTTACCAAAGTGTGGGTAATACAAGCTTCATGCTGGGGAAGATGTAGATATAGTGTTCAAAAGATTTTGGACAGATAAGAGTATTGCCTATCTACCACCATCTGGTGGGAAAACTAGTGGAGAATAAATTTCATTGGGGTATACAATATAGAAATATAAAATATAGATGTATAAGAATAAGGCTTAAATAATCCATTAAACATTGAATGTCTCTTCTCATATGAAGAATGTTTCTATTACATTGGACATTCAAGCCTGTAATTTATAATTATGTCTTTTACATAACCTTGGTTAATTAATATGAAAATTATTTGACAGTTGCTTAAAATTCTGTAACAACCTGTATTCTTTTAAAATACATTCATCTAATTTCTATTTTGTGGACTTTAAATAAAACAGACTCACTACTATATATCTATACTCTGTCCATAATGGGATATGAAAGGAAGGAACCCTCATGCTAACAGGGAAAGAATCGCAAACATAAGCCTGAACATTCAAATTCAAGTAAGATATGAAAAGACTAGGAGAAAAGAAAGAGCAGAAAAAATTGTAGTTCTCAGCTCAGTGGAAGGTACACTGGTCTGAATATCCATAACTAAGAGTGGCAAGATGTGGCAGACATTTTCAGGAACTGACAAGAGAAAACTTTAAAGGGAAGCAGTGTTGACTACAAGAATGAAGCAGAAACGGAGAAGCCTGAAGGTTGAGCTCAATTTCTAGAAGAACGAAAATATTCCACTGAAAGATAAAAGTTTTCATCCCTATTTTAAAAACTCCACATGTTCATCAATGGATTTCAAACTCCTACCCAAATATATAGCTAGGGGGTATAGATTGATGAAGACAATTAAGTATGAAAAATCACCCCTCAGTAGCTGCAGGGCAGGAATGTATTGTGTATTTTGATCTTTGAGGAGGGTCAGAGAACATAAATAAAATCATTTCTACTTCCTAAAAAAAAATACATCTATTTGGACCCTGTATTTCGTAGGTTTAGCAGGTGGAATCTTGTCTGAAGTCTTCAAATCTCAAGTATTCCTAGTTAGCTGTTGCTAGTAAAAAGGAACCATGGACAGATTGAGAAGGGAACTTTTTACTGATGCAGATGAAAAAGGAATTTTTAGAAACATGAAAGAATATTGGAAGCTGAAAATATGCACAAGGAAAAACTAGGCAAGTGTCTTTATAAGGTTGTCTTTAAGTAGCTCATTTGGAAAAATCTGTATAAACATGTTACAAGTTATAAACTGTAACAGTTTCCTTAAGATACTGTATACTCCTTAATGTAAGGACATCACTATTTAAATTGGAATCTACAATTTTAAAGGATATAAAGTTTGGATTCTTTGGTTTACCTGAAGAACTTCATATTTTGTCTCATCCCTAAGTCAGTGATTCAGATAAATTCATTATTTTATTTATTTATATTTATACAAGCACTGGGTACAGTCAGAAGCGCGGGAGGGTGAGAGAATTCACCAGAGCCAGAGCAGAGAGCAGAACAGGCAGACTGACGAAGTACACGGCTGAGGGGAGCGGCGAGTGGCAGGAGAGGTCTGCGCACCATCTGGGACCCCCACTGCAGGCGGGGATCAAACTGGTGCTGCAGAGGCCGCAGGCAGCTTCGCAGCCCAGCGCTCAACCGCTGTGCCACCAGGGGAGGCCCTAAATTCATTATTTTAAAAATAACTTACAGGGCCTCCCCGGTGGCACAGCGGTTGAGTGCTGGGTTGCGAAGCTGCCCGCGGCCTCTGAGGCATCGGTTCGATCCCCGGCTGCTCCCCGGCCACCAGAGGAGGGTCCCACATGGCGCGCAGACCTCTCCTGCCGCCCGCTGCTCCCCTCAGCAGTGTACTTCGGTCCTTCTGCCTGTTCTGCTCCCCGCTCTGGCTCTGGTGAATTCTCTCACCCTCCCGCGCTTCTGACTGTACCCAGTGCATGTATAAACAAAACAAACAAACAAACAAACAAATAAAAAAAAAAAACATGCCTCTATAAAAAAAAAAAATCTTAAAAATAACTTACATACAATTTTCTTTTAATAGTTATCCTGTCAATTTCATTCTGCTGATTAGAAATGATAGGATTTCTCATTGGGTTGACTCCTATCAAATCCGAACCCTTGATTATACAAATCACAACTCTCATTGTCCGTACCTATATACTAAGTTTCAACAGGGTAAAACAACCCAAATCTTTTTATTTCACAGTCTTTTTTTTAAGATTTATTTATGCATACAAAAACTGGGGTACAGGCCAGAGGTGTAGGGGGTGAAGGATTCACCAGAGACAGTGGGGAACATAACAGGTGAACTGACTGAAATACACTGCTGAGGGGAGAGGTGGGTGAGTCAGGAGAGGTCTGCTGCACCATGTGTATCACCTCCCAGGCTGGGGATCGAACTGGTGCTGCTGTGGCTGCAGATAGCTTCATAGTGCTGCATCTTAACCTCTTGCGCCACCAGGGAGGCCCCTATTTCACAGTTTTCTGTCATTAGGTTAATGCTACAATAATGACCCTCGCCTTTCTCTACCAACACATACCTCTTCTCTATTCCTCCAATCCTTTGCAGCATGAGGCTCAGTGCACATTAGATAAGAGAAATGTTCTTCTCTACCTTAAAAAAAAGTATGAAGTATGAAGTTAGACCTTGATGCTTTCCGAGCTAATTAATCCTGACCACCCTAGTCATGCTTATCAGTGCAGCAGCTCCTCACCCCTCTTGTAGATGCCTTGGCTGCCATGCAGAACACTGCCCTGCCCTTCTGCACAAGTGTGTGTGTTGGTTGTGGGGACATGGCCCTTCTGAACTAAATTTCTGGGGAGTTTTGTTGTTCTGTAGAGGTTAGAATGCCAAAAACTACATTTCTAGTGAAGGTTCAAGTGCAAGTTAATTTCTACCAGTTACATGTATTTGACATTTAAAAGGGAATGTAAGGCAGGGCCATCATCCTGTTGTAGTTTTCATGGCTGGCTGTGATACATGTAGAGCCTGTGTATTTATCTGCAGTAACACTCTAATGTCTAGTCACTAGTCTTATTTGGGGTCAAGAGGCACTGCAGTAGTGACATCCATGACTCATTATTTCTGGGTTGTTGCTATGTTAGTGTAGTCTATTGAACAGCTTCATTTAGAGACTTCTAATTCCCCACTTCCCTTGTGGCAGAGGTGGCAGCAGCTGCCTCCACCTACCCAGCTCAATGTGGTCATTTTCTTGAAGTTATTCCAGGAAATCCAGTCTGGAGTCTGCTCACCTAACTTCCAGAAATGTCAGTACTTAAATACCTTTATAACTGGAATAACTATAGATTGTGTCATATCCTGTTCTAGATTCTACTCCTCCTTTTTTTTATTCCCACCCACATGGCAATCCCTACTTCAGCTAACTAAATAGGGATTCCAGAAAGACAGAAAGGAACAAAAGAGTAGAAATAACTAAAGAATCAATGCAAGACTATTTACCAGACTCTAGGGATAGACTACCAAACCAGAGAACCCAAGTTTTCCAAGTCATCACAAAGTAGTAGAATATCGGGGATAATGAGAACATGAAAAAAAAAATTGTCATGTAGAAAAAAGCAAATGATACA